CACTCTTTCTCCACCCCTGTGCCAGACACTAAAAACACAGCCACGAATAAAATGTACCCACCTTCTGACCCCTCCTGCCCCCTCCCCGCTCCGCCTTCCTCCACCCGCTCCGCTGCCCCTGCAGACACTCACCTTCAGAAAGTAGGGATGGAGCTCTCCTGGTGGCCTGGGATGGAGTAGTCAGACAGCAGAGGCTGAAGGAAATGGGTCCCCTCACATGGGGAGATTTTAAGCCCTGGCTGGGAGTGATGTCATTTGCCGTGGCCTGGATCTCAGAGGGTAATCCTGGTCCGGGTGGGGACTCAACTGGGCGCCAGGAGGTGACATTGGCGGGGGAGGGGGCGGGGCATCCATCTGCCTAATCCCCTCCTGTCCTCCCCACCTCCATGACATCTTGGCAATTAGGGCTGATGGGAAGGGCGGCCCCAGGTCCCGCCTGTGATCAGGAGTCCCCATTCCTCAGGGAAGTTCTTCCTGAAGTCTAATCGGTGTCCCTCCAGCTTTGGCTATTTTCCCACCAAAGAGGAAGAAGAGCGATGTTGGGTGTTCCTGAGAGATCCTTCAAGAAACGAGGGTCGCGGGGCTTTCTTCTCTCTCTCTCCTGGGTCACCCTTTCTCTCCCCAAGAGTCTATCTGCCCACTAAGTCATCTCTGCACTGCCCCATTGTTTTCCTTTCTGCCTCAGTTTCCCTTTTCCCTCTTCCTTTCCCCAGCTTCTATCATTCTTTGATACCAGCTTCTCCCGTCTCCCCTCCTCCCCTGGCTTCTCTCTCCCTCTCTCTACTTGTATCCTCTCCATCTCTAACCCTATCTGTCCCTCCCTCCCTCCACGTCTTTGGTCTTCATTTGGGGTTTCTGTGCCTCAGTTTCTCTTTGCTTTGAGGCTCAGGTTGTGCCACTTCTGCCAGTCTGCCTGTGTACCCCTCTCTCATTCTCCAGCTCTGGGTCTCTCTGTCCCTGTCTCCTGTCTTTCTGTCTTGGTCCCTCTTGTTGTCTGTCTCTCAGCCACTCTCTATGCAGCCCTGTCCTTGTTTGGGTTTTGGCCTCTGTCCTTGTCACCCTGTGACACCAGTCTCCCCTACGCCTCACACCAGTACCTCTCTCTCCTTTATCCAACCTCTTAAGCTCGAATCTCTGTTCTTGTTTCTCTCTCTCTCTTCCCCTGCCTCTTCCTCTGATTCTTGCTTTCTTTCTCTCTAGCTTTCCCCCTCGTTTCTTTCTGCCTATCTTGGTACCTCTCTTGTTCTGTACTTCTGACTATCCTTGTTTCTGCCTCCCTCTGTATTTTCTTCTCTCTGTCCTTCTCTGGGTGTGTCTCTGTCTCTGGATGTTAATACCTCCCTGAGCTCCTGGACCCAAATGGGTCTGTTCTCCTTGTCCATCTACCCCAACACCTACCTACGTGCATGAGGTCTCCGTAATCCCGCCTTGTGGCTGGGTCATTGTGTCTCACCATAAGGGGCCCTTTCTTCCTTCACCCCCCCTCCCAACCCCCTGCTAGGAGAGATTAAGGCCAGTAGCCTGGCTGGGGAATCAGGGCCGGTCTCATTAGCTTGAAGAGCCAGGGGTGACAGGGAGAGAGGGAGGGGTTGCCTGACCCTCACTGGCAGGCCAAAAGGCTACTGATGGGAGGATCCAGTCCTGTAACAGACCGTCCTGGCCCACCAGAGAAGGGAAGGAAAGCTGGATGTCAGGGAGAGGAAGAAAGAACAGGTTCTCAAAAGCCCCAGGGAAAAGGTGTCAGCTTCTCTTAATCACCTCCCCCGAATTTTCCTAGCCAGAGTCCCACCAGGCTGGGAGGGTGTAGAGAGCTGGGTTTCAGGTCATGCACATGGCCCTGGGGTCAAATAAGCTGAGTCTAAATCCAGGCTACTCCTCCCCTGAGGCAAGTAGCTCTTTCTTTTCTCATCTACACCCAGTGAGCAACTCAGGAAGAAACCTTGGCAATCAGCCTTGCCTTCCCCCTTTTCTCCTCACCTCCCTCCCAACCCCCCACCCCCAGCTTCCCCCC